AGATCGTGCTTTAGATGTGAAACAATACTCCTAACACTACACATAAATCAATATTTTATCCTGTGCTTAAACAGACAGAGCATAGATATGCTCCACTTTTTAACCTTTTACTAACTAGTGGTACTCCCCTCCGTTTCTGTCCAACCTACACTGAGTGAGTGGGTGCTGATGGTACATGTGCAATCTCTCAGCAGCTTAATGCACTGCAGAGTTAAAGATCAGGTTGTTAACACTGTGATCAGGGCCTGCATTAGTGGCACAGGGCACTCCTTCACTGTAATGCTGGAGCGGCATAATTGACTTACTTAACACATACACCTACATGCAGACACACACACACACACACTCACATCTCTGCAGTCCCAGCTAATGCTCAGAAACATGCATGAATAGAGACACACATATACAGATCAGAGTGTCTCTGTTCTGACACCCACACTGTTGAAATTCAAAAATTGTGTAATTTGAACTAAAGTTAATAGCTACATGTTACAAATCTAAATTAGACTGCTAATAGGCTCGGCAGTTTGTTATTCTTAGTATTTTCTGTATCTGTATTTCATGTGGGGCCCAAAGGTGATCAGTGATCGGTGACCTATGATAAATTAAGAAACTTTCATAATTTTATGTTAACCTGGAAATGATAATAAAGTTATTTTAACTTTTCCACAGAGGAGATGTTTTGAGATAAAAATGAAGAAAACTAACAATAAAATGAAAAGCAGCTGAGTGGCTATTAACAATCAAAAACAGCATGTGCCAGCACTAAACCAAATAGAAAATGAACAACAACTTTTAAATTAAAACAAGTCTAGATGGAAAGGCCAGGACAAAGACAAAATGCACAGTATATATCTATCTATATCTATCTATACATCACTATCAAGCTGTTTTAACGAGAGCTGATGTGAGCCCCGAGCTACTGCAGCTAGCTGTTGCTAGCTTTGGGTCTCAGGCCTCATCAGACCCCAGGTCCAACTCCAGCTCACATTGTTCTCCAGCTCGGACCTCCCTCAGAATCTGAAACTCACACTATCAATAAATCAAGTAAACATTAATTAAATTTTACCATCTGCATTAAATCAAGGCAGGAGAAGGCTGTGATGGTGTAGGGGCAGGGCAGCCGACTCGGGACCCGAAGGTTCCGGGTTCGATCCCAGTCATTGCACATCTCGTGGTGTCTCTGAGCAGGACACATTATCCCCAGTTGCTCCCTGGGCGCTTTCCATAGCTGCCCACTGCGCCACCTGGTGGTGGATGAGTTAAAAGCAGAGAGCCAATTTCCCCATTGCATGAGAACATACAATGATGACAGTACTTACACACTGGTTGAAAACAACAAAGTCCATGCTCAATAATCCAGGTATACAATCCAACATTTTTCAGTCAGGTCATCTGGACAGTTTCTTTTTTTGTGCTGAAACGTTTCGCCTTCAATCCGGAAGGCTTCATCAGTCAAGGAAACGCACAAAACAAAACTGATTCTTTGACATGACTGGGTGGAGTTTGCATGTTCTCTCCGTGCATGTGTGGGTTTTCTCCGGTTTCCTCCCACAGACCAAAAACATGCTTGTTAGGCTGATTGGTAACTCTAAATTGTCCCTAGGTGTGAGTGAGAGAGTGAATGGTTGTTTGTCTCCTTTGACTCTACGTGTCCCTGTGATGGACTGGAGACCTGTCCAGGGTGTACTCCGCCTCTTGCACAGTGATGGCTGGACTTGGGCACCGGCGACCCCCGTGACCCAAAATGGAAGAAGCGGGTAAAAGATAATGGATGGATGGATGGATGAATTGTTTTGGGTGTACCCATCTCTCATCTAGAAATTATTGATGAAGGTTTAGCTGCAACCTTGGTCAGAATAAACCAGGCACATAAAATAATTTGCACCACTTTCCTACTGACTTTAAGTACTTTTTAAACTAAGCAATACTGTAAGTCAACTTTTCTAAGTTGTGTTCAAATGCCAGGGTGGAAAACAGCAAGAAAAAACAAAAGCAAAAGTATGCAACACTGCCCTTTTCACCTTGAAAAGTTACCGGTAGTGTCTTCCTTGATTAAAGGCTATTAAGTCTAATCAGGCCTGATACATTATCCAGATAGACTGTGAGCTTTCTAACCTGTGTGATGACTTTATCTGGGTTTTACACTGTGCTGAGTGGATGCTGTTGCTTCTCATGAGAACCCAGGAAGAGCTGTTTGAAGGTCATTGGTGCTGAACTGGGAAGCCTGGGGTGGTGAGGCGTGCACTTTCTTTCAGCAGATAGAGGGAATAAAGCACTGAAGGATGAGCTACATCAGATAATTGCGGTTGGGGTTTAATGGTTTAAAGTTTTTCAGAGATGAATTACCAACTTGAAGTAACTTTTATACTTTAATAACCTGTTGTCTTGATGATCTTAATGTCTGTTAAATATATTTTAAAACTGTTTCTTTTTTTCAAATTAAAAAAACCTAGTTCTTCCATTACTTTGTTTCACTTTATTTTTGACTCAGCTTTGCTGTAAGGTGCCTACCCAACTCTGTAGATATTGTAATTGGATTAAACACTTTTAAATAGCAATAGTTTTTTCTCAGTAGCCATTTTAATAGCAAATACTTTTGTGATCACGCTATGATATATGTATTAATTCCCAGTCAATGGTCCTGTAAAATGAACTAATCCCCATCAATGTCATAGTTTTTTTTTTTTTTTACAAATCTCCCTTTGATGAGCTAGGTGTTTTTAAAAGTCTGTTCTGTATATCCTGGTTTTAGCATTAATTTTAGATTTCAATTCAAATTCAATATTTTGTTCATTTCTTATTGTTACCTTCTAATTTTCATGTGTGAGAGTTTTAATACTTATCATCTACCCCACTCAGAAACAAAATTAAAACAGAGGATTTTTTTTAAAGCATTGTATAAATGTTGCTGTATTCTATGTGTAATTTTCTTTGAAAGATTAAAAAAAAATCATCATGCAAAGGTTTAAACACTAAGAAATGTTATGTATCAGCTTTAAATGACTTTAGTGACATGGTGTCATTAATAATCAGTACCATTTGTTTTGATTGATCAAGTTTTATAAATTCCCCGGGGGAAATAAAGGAAAGATCACCTTGTCCTAAAATTGACATCTGCATCTGTTTTCACACTAAAAACTTAAATATTTGATACCCAGGAAGCAGAAGAAAACAGGATATCAAAAATGTATTGCTTTGTGCTTGTATTGCAATTGTCTGCAAACCACTTCATCATAAGAGGAAAAAAAGACACAACACTGAGAAAGTTTTCAGAGTAGTCATCACACCACAATTCATAATAAAATGATGGCTTCTAGTAGGATAATCTTGGTTCATCCTCAAAATCTAATGGACAATTACAAGAGCAAAATAGTTTTGTCCAGGACCTCATTCTCTCCTAAGCCAAAGTTGTTTAATAATTGCTAAGTAAACCTCAAAATAGAAGCACCTGTAACTAAATTTATATAAAATTACAGGTAATCATTATGGATAGAATGAACAAAGAATAGGAAATGTCTTTTAATTAACAAAAATGATAGGACTGTCTAGAGATAAAGACATATTTAAAGAAAAACTGCTTGACATGGGAGTTTTGAGAAACACAGAGATTTGAAAAATACACATATAGGTTTGATGTGTATTGCTATACTGTACATGTGTTTATAGATTTAACTGAGCAAACTATTATTGTACCATGATTTTACAATATTTCAAGTTCTACCTTTGAACAAATAATAAACAAACATGTTTTAAGTGAAATCTATTCAGGCTCATGCCAGCAATGAGGCTGGCATGGAGGCTGCACAGCTGCAGAAATAAAAGCTTTGCAGAGAGTGGTGAAGGCTGCACAGAAGTCTGTTGGAGTCAGCTTCCCCACCATCACAGACATTTACACCTCTAGATGCAGGAAGAGAGCCACCTGCATCATGAAGGACCTCACTCACCCAGTACACACACTTTATGCCCCGCTCCCCTTAGGAAGGAGGTTGAGGAGCATTAAGTGTAGAACCACTAGACTGAGGAACATCTTCTACCCTGAGGCTGTTAGACTCATGAATCTCTAACCAAAATAATCACTGTGAAAAAAAATCACTGTAATGCCACTTGATGAAATGTGCTGCTGACTATCCATGCTGCTGATCTCATGCTGCTGTTGTTGTTTGGTGTATTGTTTTTGTACTATCAATGCTTTTCTTAGTTCATTATTAGTGTACTATTATTGTTATTATTATTAATATTATTATTTGTGTACTAGTGTGCTATTAGTGCTTAGTGTGTTCTTAATATAGCATCTTTCTTAGTTCATATCTTAGATCTTATTACTGTTTTCTTTACAATTTATACTTTTGTTGGATGTATTTGGGACCCTGTGTACACAATTTCATTCCACCACATGTACCACATATGATGAGAATGACAATAAAGAAATCTTGACCTTGATTAAGCCATAACTGTACCATTATTTTACAATATGTCAAGTTTTACCATTGTACAAGTACAAATAACAAACAGACATGTTTAAAGTGAAATCTATTCAGGCTTATGTCAGCAAGCTTGCATGGTACCTGTGAAATACGGGTACATCATGGTTTCTATTTGCCTTGTTCTGCAATGTTTAAATATTCTTAGTAGGTACAGGACTAAAAATACTTTGAAGGTAGAACACCTCATGTAGCACAGAGCTGGGAAAGAGTTCAGAAACTTGAAGTGAAAGTTGTCATCTCAGCAACTTCTTCTATAATAACGCACACATCCTGCCATGATCCAAGGATTCAGGGTACCTCGGTGTGCAAACCACCTTGAGTCAGCACGCAAGTGACCGAGTTCTTCATGTACCGACAACATGACTCAGCAAGCTGAATATACTGAGGCTGATTCTCTTGATTCTAAACGACAGCTTGAGTAGACCTAAATAATTAACTACAGTACGCATAAGTTAAAATTTCAGCTGTATGCATCATTTTAAATTTTTTTTGTTTTGTCTTTTCTCCCCTCAGTATGAATACTTCAATGCTGTGCTGATCAATGAGGTTGATGCAGAAGGGAACAGTGTAGAGCTGGGCGGAGAATTTATCCTGCAACCTAATGAGCATTTTAACAACTTGTCAGTCAACCTCAGCCTCAGTGTGGTCCAGGTGCCCACCAACATGTACAACAAAGGTACGTTCACCATCTCCACAGGCAAAGAGCTCCACACTCAAACACATTTTTGAGTTTGAAGCAAAGTATTAATTGTTTTTAATGCTTTTATCATCAAAACAGTTGGACACATTTCAATAAAACCCACAGAAAACACTCATTGGAAGTGCATTTGTAACAAATTAACTTTTGGACTCAATCTGATTCAAAATGGCTGACATAACCGGTTGGTCTTGGTAAACACAAAGATGGATATAAATGAGTCTATTATAGACAATGATTAAACTTTGGTGTGTCAGTAGCCGAGACTCATCCATAACACACACTCTGAGTGAATAAGCCCTTAGTTTTAAACTTTACGCATGGAAGTCGACCTGTTGCTTGTCTGTTAGCAAAATATCTCAAAAACAAGAAGACAGATTTCAATGAAAGTTTCAGAAAGTAATCATCAAGTGTATAATTTTGGGGTCAACATAAAACAAATATGGCTAACTTATCTTTACACCTAAAATTTGTCATGGTAGTAGCTGAGGGTTATCCTCAACACAGAGGTACTATGAGTGCTAACAGATGGCACAAAAGCTTTGTTTTAATGTTTTAAACTTTGGCATGCAAAGTGGAAGGTGAAACACATTTCCCCAAGGAGCTTGAGTTTCATTTTTAATGTTTATAATAGTAAAAAATAAAATAAAATAGACAAAACTAAACCTCTAAGAACATTCAGATTAAGACCATTTCTGCTTGTGTAGTAAAGTAGATTTGACTGGACTACTTTTAACTCTTTGGATCATTCTTACCACACACACTTACCCAATTAACAGTTATATAATTAAACATCTCCTAATTAATCATTCACTCAGATTCAACAGGGACTCGTCCAGCGCACAGTGGACAGAGTGACTGTCATGTTGGCTTAACCTAGCTACAAGACTTTCTCTCATAAAGAGAGGAAGAATGAGGGGGAGAGGAAAATAGGAAGAAAGTAAATGAAGAAAGTAGGTTAAGTCAGACTGATGGGAGGTCTAAGCAAGAGATTAATTGCACCCTGTAGACAAACTAGGAAAAGCAAGTGAGAGTGACAGGGTGAGAGTGAAAGGAGCTAAACGAATGAAAGTGCATGGAACGTGAATCTGGCAGGTTGGCAGGCTGATGAAAAAGGAAGAGAGGAAGTGTAATTGTAATTTGATTTACAGGCAAACAGATTAGACTTGTACCTGGACTGTGAACACAAAAACAAGGCTGGATTAGCCAGGACTTCAAGGAGCTTTGTTGTTTGGGGGGGG